GACAAAGCATTTTATAAATTGTTCAAAGACCATGTCGATCTTAAAGCTATAGGTACTGTTAATCTATCCTTTAGAAGTCATCACAGTCATAATACCAGCAACACCCTAAAGCTCCATTCCTCACGAGAGTGACTAAGTGAGTGAGTGAGTTTAGTTTTACATCACACTCAGCAATATTCCAGCTATATGGCGGCGGTCTGTAAATAATCAAATCTGGACCAGACAATCCAGTGATCAACAGCATGAAGCATCGGTCTATTCAATTGGGATACGATGACATGTGTCAACCAAGTCAGCGAGCATGACCACCCGATCCCGTTAGTCGCCTCCTCACAAGAGGAGCTCATAGTCATTCCCATTATTGTTAAAAATGTTGTATGTTCTAACATCTATGAACATTGAAATTTGTTGATATGTAGATTCAAAGAAATTGTCAGAGTCACAAACAACAAACATAGCACTTGTTCCTGGAATGAGGAAGTAACCTTCCTCGTGACACAGCTGCATTAGTGCTTAGATGAATATTTCATAGATCACCAATCAAGGTCATGAAGGGGGTGGACAAAATATAAGCAGTGAATTGAAACAAATAAACCCTGTAATTATGAAACAAAAATAACACCAAGCAAGAAAGAAAACATAAAAAGCATACAAAAGTAAAAAGTGCAAATAGTCCATATGAATAATGGAAAAACATGTGATGATTTTACACTGCAAATGAAATGTATGTATTTGCACTATAAATTGTGAATATAAAATATGCCAATAATGACTCCACCAAATATGTCAGTTGCATGCATATCTACAAACAGCAGTAACTTTAGTTATAACAAGACCCTAAGGAAACAAAGGAGATATTTCTCTGAAATATAACATGTATATTTTATAGTTTAAGGCAGTTTAAGTTTCATATTGTCAGAAGAACTTACTTTATTAAAATAAAAAAACTAAAATATAAAAAAATATATAAAATTTGGGGTGAGAATGTGACATAGCCGACAATTGCACTGCGTGAATCTCATCCATCACAATATTACACAAAGGAGATCAAGAGAAATAGCAGGACGACGTATCCTATCTCCACCACATTGACCAAGAAGCAATCACAGATCAGTTGACAGAAACACATTCATCGTTCTGGTCCATAACTACATCAACTGACCGCATATAAATTCAATAATTGCATGTCATTACTCATGTTATTAAGATCTTGGTCTGTTTCATAAATGTTTTTTTTGCAACCTTTTCTCTCACTTTAATATAAAAAGCAGCTGTAAATGAGGATGCATCCTGCTTGTTGGAAAACAACACTTAAGATGTCTGACAATAACGGCAAAACTTTTGCAAAATATTCCATTCATGATAAAAAATACTTTACAACAACACAGATCTTTGACACTGACCTTCAACACTGATCTTCGACACTGATATTTGACACTGATCTTCGACACTGATATTTGACACTGATCTTCGACACTGATCTTCAACACTGATATTTGACACTGATCTTCAACACTGATATTTGACACTGATCTTCAACACTGATCTTCAACACTGATATTAGACACTGATCTTCAACACTGATATTTGACACTGGTCAACAGCGACATCTTACTCACAGCATGAACAATTAAAGTAAATCAATAAATTAGATTGCATTTCAAAATGAACATATTACCATACATCAACTGTACAATTTTACATATGTTATGAAACACTGGGCATGGAAAGAAAACCCCTGGCAGATGTTGTACTGACTCTGATGTGGAGGAGTAGTTATGGATGTCAACTTCTCATGAGGAACACAATGTGTCAATGAAGGAATAAGCACAACTCCAACGTGTTCCTTATAAAAAAAGGAATATATGCTGAATATATGCTTGTACCTTGATCAGCTCAGATAAAGGTGTATGCATTTCCACAATATTCATTATACTGACTGACTGAGTTTGGCTTTATGCCGCTTTTAGCAATATTCCAGCAACATCATGGCGGGGACACCAGAAATGGGCTTCACACGTGTACCCATGTGGGGACCCAGGCTTGACGTGACGAGCCAACACTTTAACCACTACGCTACCCCACCGCCCCAATATTCATCATAAGTGTGAGTCGCTTTTGGCAATACTCCAGCAATAACACATTGGAGGACACCAGCAATGGGCTTCACATATTGCACCCATGTGGGGAATCGAACCTAGTTCTGCGGCATGATGAGCACAAATTTTTACCGATAGGCTACCCCACCGCCCCTCATACCCAAGAAGCTCACATCCAAAATTTCTCCACTTTATGTGTATCACTTCTAAATGTCATTTGAAGATATGATGTGGAATATCTCTGACAATGTGCAAATTATGTTAGGTAATACACCAGAGTTTAACTAAATATAGACCTTCTTGTCTGGTATATGTACTGAACAAAACAAGTAAGGGTCATGAATAATTTAGGGGAAATTTTAATGTGCTCAATCTTTCCTATGAACAAAATTTCCCTTAAAAATACTCACAAACTCTAACTTTTATGATCCATTATATGATTTCCTGGACCTTAATTCATTTATACCATGGAGACTCTATCTATTATCAAAACACAGCAGAAAGCATATGGTGACTTCACAGATGTCTCCAGTTCTAATGTACATTAAGATTATATAATCACAATGATGGGTCTATGTTCCCAACATATTTAAATATATTGGGAAATGAGTTGAGAAGCTTCACATTGCCAGATACAGAAGATAAGCATGGATGCTGGATTTTTCTCAAAGTATGACATGAGGCAGTTTTTCAATTTAAATTTTTCAACCCGTAATTGTTTTCCATCTGGAATGATTTTTGAAACCAAATGATTGATGAATTGGAAGATAATTTTTCCATAATGGAAGAACAAGTTTACAATGGTCTGACCAGCAGGTACACAAATGGGAAAAATGTTAAAAGCATTAAAACCAATAGACAAAGCACTGAACCTTGTCACACCCATAGTATGTGTTGTTAAGGAAACACATCTTTGTCATTGCAATGATTTACTATAGTGTAACACAATACTTTGTCCATACAAAACTAAATCAGATCAGGTTACATGGTGCAGGCTACATTTCGGATCTAAAATAAAAATACACATTAAAATGCTGAATGTTGACAGCTTCAGTGAGTGTATTAATTAGAAAAGCAAATGGACAGTCTATTTATCTTGTCTATGCATGAGACTGGCCTGCCTTTAGGTAATCATTTAGAGGAATGCTCAATATTTACATTATATAGTTGAATCACCTACTGTAAATGAGACTATGTACAGATTTGAACCCACTTGCCTCAAGCATTCTCTCTTGCTGAGAGAGGATCAATTTCCATACTTTAAAGGTCACATGCAACGTAAAACACAACTTTGCAGATTCTGATACCTTTCAGTATGGACTTACCGAAACAAATCATCAAAAATGCAAAATCAACTTATAAAGTTGAAAAATAAGGCGATGAAAAAAACCGCGCGAAATCGGAGTTCAAACAATTCACTAATTTTCCCCCAGCGCTTGGAAGCTTGGAAGCGGGTTGTCCGGTGAATACTCGGTGAAGGCTTTGGTGTGAGCTATTTTTCTAATGTTTTGTTGATATTTCACAGGCGCAAGCTTTTTATATGTTATGACAGTAGATTACCGATTTAACTGTTTATATAATTTCACTTGTCTATTTCACCACACGTTCTTCTTACCGAGTCACTTTTATCAGTTCGATACTTAAAAGCAATGTCATTATTTAGCGTTGACAGAATTTCTAACTGGGATATAGATATGTCGTTGTCACAGACTCAATGTCTGTTTTATTGACACCTATGTGTCTGCCTGTCTGTTAATGGCAATATTCCATACACAAATTCGATCACTGACCACATGCAATTTGAACTTAACACCTATCAGGCTATACACAATAAACAAAACGCATTGATTTATGGCCCGAGTTCACATTATGTAATTACACAGACAGGCAGGTGTGATACTTGTACACATGACATGTTATGATGTCTGTTGATTGCAATATGTTATACACAAAAAATGAGCATGTATTTACAAAACCCAACATCTCTATATATACACACACAATGAGCCATGAGGGCATCTGCAAATGCAGCCGTTACACTTGACTGCACACCTACCCGCTCTGACTGGGTTCGGTAACACGGCTGCTTCGTTTCTAGCGAAGTAAACCCAAGTACAAAATATTGCACTTTTGATTTGCGATTGTATGCTTATAATTTCGTTTAAATGTTTTTTTCATAATCACCAATGTATATTATATGTCATGAATAAGTGATAATTGTGTTTTAATTATGTTTGATTTTTTGGTTGCATGTGACCTTTAACACAGACCTACACAGACATAGCACTCAAACATGTCAAATAAGTAGTAATGAAATAATATTCTTTCAGATATCTGAAACATTTTTTCCCATCATAATAATACCCGCAATTGATTCTACAACACAATTTGTAATGGTGTTAAACATTCAGCACTCCAGTATGTAAATGAATCTAATATATCAACATGATCAACAAACTAAATAAGGCAAACCCTGTACCATATGAAGGAATAATTACTGCTTTACGCCGCATCAGCAATATTACAGCTATTCGTGTACTGTATCGAAAAGTAAGAAAATACAAAATAGTATAACAATGTTCGGGTCATGACCGCACCAAGGGAAAATTCCATTCTAAAACTGGTTGTTGATACTTACATATCAATATGTTACTGAATCATTTCCGTTTTGGAAAAATATATTAAAATGTGTGAAGCACATACATATATGATGACCATTAACAGTATTTACACAATTTTTGTTGCCATATTTTCCGTAATAAGCATTTTTTTCACCAGTCACTTGGTATTTCCATATCAGTACTTTGCTGTTTTCTGTGTGTAGTGTGTGATGTACACAAAATAATATGAACAGTCACACAAAGTTTCAGTCCAAGTTGGAAGCTTATAAAGAAATGTATCTCTCTGTATAAAAGTTTAATGTAACCATGGTTACTCATCGGGTCAAGTGAAGGAATGGACAATTGAACTTATTTTGCTTTTGAAGAGTTCTTCAGTTGTGTTTTCAATATGTCAGCTTAAGTTAGAAGGAATGCCAATAAGATGGAGATTTCAATGGTTTAGTGAAACTTTAGTTCAGGTATGGTACTGACAAACCTAGGATCGATGATATCCTTTGATTCTGGCACTGGTTCAGTTTGCTGTATTGTGGTGCTTTAGATGACCTAACTACTTGTGTACCTGTTAAAATATATAAGTGGTCCAATGTGATTCAAATGATGACCTGGTGTCCTTGTATCCCAATGGGAATCATCAGCCAGGAGAATTAGACATCCAAGGAATCTAAACATGGATGTAATAATGATCATTTCAATCATCATTATCATTAAATAAAATCATTAAATTGTTATCCCTGATCACACTATACTCTCAGTCTTGTTCGACTTTGGTCCACTTTTTTCCGATTTCGCCATGTCGTTAAGCACTTCCCATGATGCCTGTCTGGGGAAGGATTTGTCTGGTGGTGGGACAAACTTGATCTTTCCCCCAGAGTCAGAGCTGCTGGAGGAGGCTGCAGAGTGGGGGTACTGGCCACTTCCAACCACACTGCCATAGTCTGACACAGCACCTGGAGGCTGCATGTAAGGTTGGGGCATGTAGGTCCCAGGTGGGGCATAGCCTTGGGGGACGTACTGAACTCCTCCGGGTGGATACTGAACACCCCCAGGTGGATACTGAACTCCGGAATATGGATTTGGTTGTTGTGGCTGCTGATGGCTGAACACAGAACCAGTGACCGACGCCGATTCTGTGTTGTCTGAATTCCTCTCGTGGTCAGTTATAGCACACAAAATGTCCCAGCTCGATTTGCCGGACTTCCCTGGCTGGCCAGGTGGAGCTTGTGGAGGATGTTGAGGAGGGGCTGCTGCTGCTGGCATCCTAGGAACTGGTGCATACATCACTGGTGGGACAGGCTGACCCCCAGGCATCATGGCCCCGGGGTAGGGCTGCATCATCGGCATCCCCCCTGGTGGGATATAATGAGGCTGACCTGGGTAAGGCATTGGACCCCCGGGGACCATCTGGCCAGGGTAAGGCATGCCACTTGCTGCTGTAAATGCTGGGGTCTCTGGCTGGCCAGTCTGTGCGTGAGACACGGGATCACCGGCAGCCTCACGGTCAGGCTGATTTTTAGCACTTAGCGCTTTTCCTTGGAGCGGGTTTAGGTTTAGGCTGAGGTTTAGGTTTATCAGCTGCTGATTTCGTTTTTGTTTTCGGGGTGGTAGGTTCGGAGCGTTCATCTTTCTCTTCTTCATCCTTTGAAACAGACTTCTTGGCTCTGGGTTTCTTGGAGGCTGTAGAGGAAGTACTTTGTTTCCGGGCTGCAGCCTTCCTAGCAGTTCCTTTCTTGGGAGCAACAACCTTACCATTCCTCGTCTGAGAACCTGTCTCACGTAATGTCTGTGTAGAAATCTCCCGTGATTCATACTCAAGGTCCCCAAGGGACCTGTAGCCCTTTCTCAGAGACTCCTTTCTGGACACTCGGCGGCTATCAAAGTCATCATCTGAGTAGGCATCTATGTCATCATGCATGTACGACATGACAGACTCTCCAATGGAGCTACTTCTTTCGCGTCTCCCACGACGACCATACAAAGATGACCTTGAGGCGTACAGTGACTGTCGAGATGCTGATCGCTTCAGTGCTGAAACAAAATAGAAAACCGTCATCATGAATATGGTGGGTGTAAGAAACGTGTAACTTCATTTGTAAATGAGCGAGGAAAATGAGCATGTTTTACACCTTGATGTGGCAGGAAAATCACACAGAGTTAGGAGTGAATATGATATTTTGCTGCTTTTAGCAATATTCCAGTCAAATATTACACCTGCAGTGGGTTTTATATATACTTATGGGAAATCAAACCTGAGCCTTAAGCATGACAAGCAAACACTTTAACTACTCAGCCACTTTAGTGAAAGCAGCCTGCACCATAATGAAAGACTGAAGATAAAGTATCTCACTACGTATATTGTAGTGAGACAATCCCATGTCAGTTTGTCAGTTTGGTCATAATCCTGACCATGAGTGGCAAGAGTGAGTGAGTGAGTGAGTATGGTTTTATGCCGATTTAAGCAATATTCCAACAACATCACTGCAGGGGACACTAGAAATGGGCTTCACACATTTTACCCATATCGAGCATCAAACCCGGGTTTTTGGCGTGACGAGGCAACGTTCTAACCACTAGGCTATTCCACCTTCCCATGAGGCAGGAGACGAAATATACAAAAGTGTTCATTAAATTGTTTTGTAAACAAAAACTTTCAAATAATGTCTTTCAATAAAAACAGACAATGTTAAAAAAACATACTTTCAATCAAGAACACCCTTTTTGCTAGTTTCTCAATTAATGTTATGCTAGATTAATCCATGAAAACTCAAATCAATTGCTCCGTCTGTTATAAATGTCCTCATGTATTTCAGTTCCCATCTCAAGTAAATCAGACAATGGGAGATACTGAATTAGCAAGATTAAGTTTATAACATCTATGATATGAGTATATTTCTGTCATTAAAACACTCACGTTGATAATTGGAATCTAGGTCATCATCCCTGAAGCGAGAGATCTGACTGGTTGGCGTTTCTGGCCGTCCAATTGATTCATTGTCATCAAGGATAGACCCTGTTGAAGGCCTTGATGCCCGCCCAATCCTGGGAGATTTTCGGGAGGATTTTCGAAGACCACTATTTTTCTGGAATCCTCCTGCTGGTCTTCTTCCCTTCTCTGACTCCGGAGCCAGGCTCTCTTGATCATAAGCATCATATTTGGGATGTTTCACTCCAGTTTCACCCTGTTTTCTCTTCTCCTTCGGACTCTTGCCCCTGTTGGGCCGTAACGTATGCTGCGTGTCATGCTTCGGATTGGTCCGGTGTGGGTCAGACACCTTGACAGCAACAACCTCACTGGGTGAAGGAGGGTCTTCTCGATCTCTCATGACCCTGATATCACGGTCATCAAGGTCACCACGTTCGATCTGCTGGATCTCCTCTGAAGATGACGACGGCCTGGGAGCTCGGCGGATGCTGGCAAATGCTGAACGCTTACGTTCAGGTGACTTTGGCACAAAGGGAAGAGGAGGTGGCGGTGGGATCCCCTTCTTCTGGGTGTTGTTAGAATTGTTTTTGGTTCTGGAGTTGGTGGCAACTGGTTCATCAACAGAAGATGTCTCAGTAACAGAGTCTTGTCCAGAACTGTACGAGGAAATCCTCTTAGCTCTCTCGTCAGCTTCAGCTTCAGTAGCTGCAAAAGTTGCCCTGAACTTAGCATTACTGTGCAGTGCACTAAGAATAGGAGACTTAGGTCCATCAGAAGCAGGTTCCTCCTTCTTGGGCACATTCCTTTTCGCACATCATCATAATCAAATGACATGGATTTCTTAGGGCTCGTGGAATAACTTTCAATGAGGGGAGCTTTTCGTTCTCCAGAGCTATTGGAACTGTCAGCCTCATTATCCACTTTATAGTTATCTTTATAACCACGTTTATTGATATACTCGTCATTTTCACTGAGCAACAGCTTCTTGTTGGAACCTGGTGTGTCATTATATGTGGTGTCTCCATTACGGGCATCATTATCATAGCCATATGTTGTGTTGGAATGGTTTTCCAGATTCTGCTTGTACTCCTCTTCCCGCTCGATCTGACGCTTGCGGCGGTAACAGCACACGACGAGGATGGCAAGGAAGACTAAGAACACAACGATTCCACCCACAATTCCAACCACCATGCCCACTGCCATAGGGCTGGAATCATTTTCATTGTAGCCTTGTTCAGCTGGAACAGAAATAGGAACATGAAAATACTGAAAGATCAATGAACAGGACCAACTGTACAACACATTTAACTATCTTTAACAGAAAATGCTTTCAACAACATTTAAATGAAGTCTTTGACTGGCTTTTGGAGGCTGGAAGATTACATAAGAGTACTTTTTTATCACAACTTCTTTATTCTTCGTAATGACATTTCAGGGCAACCTCCTTTCTCTTCATTCATCAGATGAGTGAGTGAGTGAATGAGTGAGTTTAGTTTTACACTGCTTTTAGCAATATTCCAGCAATATCATGGCGCAGGACACCAGGAATTCACCAGATAAAGGGGCAAGACATGGTGAGTGCATGAGTGAGTGAATATGGCTTAACACCCCTTTTAGCAATATTTCAACAACATAATGGTAGGACACATGAAATGGGCTTTATACATTGCACCCATGTGGCGAACTCTTTAACCACTCAGCTACCCATCTACCTTGTGCAAGAAGTAGCCCTGAAATGTTGTGTAATTGTAATAACGAAGTTGTTGACAATAAAAACAACATAAATTACACAAAAATTTGATAAACATACCATAATGAAACGAATTATCAAATATAGATGCTGCTTCCATGGATATGAAGATAGTAAGTGTGCACTTCCTGATTATTTGGTTTCAAAATGAAAATGCAAAATGTTCATAACAGTTTTAACTAGTATGTCCTTTTGATAGTGCCAGATTTGGAATCTTTACCTGAAATAGCTTAACATGATCAGAATAGAATTATTTTGTCTTGGTTTGCATAATTTAGTGCTTTTAAGATATTTTTACTCTTCTGGGCCAGTGATAGCCATAAAAATAGAATAAGATGTTAAAATACAAGTCTTTACTGAGGGACCAGTTCAAAAGTTTGATGTGTGATACAAATTTAAATTCCGTAAGTTCAAGGTGGGTGTTAATAGCCCTGCAAGTTTTCCTATTTACCTGATTACTCAAAAAAGCCAAAAATTCAGTCCTGGTTCAATGATCCTATTTCTACTCTGACAATGTCGGCAGGTAACTCTGGAACACTAGTTCTTGGCACCAATGGCTTCATGAACTAGTACACTAAATGAATCGCAAGACATGCTGTGAGAAGATAAATCTGATGTTTTCACTGCACAGAAACATGACACTGTTATTTGAACCTTAAAAGGAATTCAAAATTTTCAGCATTACGGTTTTTAGCGGTATATGTACAAACTTAAGGAATTTAGTTTTTTATTCTGCATTGAACCATTGAACTGGCTCCATATCAATGTGTATATTCAAAAACTGATTGATTGATTGTTGTTTAACGCTGCACTCAGCAATATTCCAGCTATATGGTGCTTATAATCAAAGAAACATTAAGACAAATTTACTTCCAGATAAGGCTTTTACCACTAAGCTACCCAACACCCTATAAAATACTGAGTGAGAAAAAACAAATAAACTAAATGGAAAATGATCAAGGCATGTCTGAACATAAAGAAGAGGAGATTTCCTTGCAAAACATCGCAACAAAAGAAATGTCGTTCTGGGTGAGAGAAAGCAAATAAACAAAAGGGAAAATGGTCAAGGCGTGTCTGAACATAAAGGAGAGATTTCCCTGCAAAAAACATCGCAACAAAAGAATTGAAGTTCTGTGTGAGAGAAAATAAACAAACAACAGGTTAAAATGAACAAGGTGTGTCTGAACATAAAGGAGAAAAGATTTCCGTGCAAAACATCGTAACAAAGAATTTTCACAAACATAATCACAGCACCAGCATGCAGCTTAAATGACAACCCTTTAATGTCACCAAACATAAAATAATATCATTAATAATAACAGTAAACTCGTTGCTAGTTATACTGTTGCTAGTAATTCCTACAATACAGGGATGTTCTGTAATATTACCAGTTTTCATACCTGAAACTAATAAAACATATAATATGGTTAAGAAACGGCCTTGTTCTGATATAAAAGTAGGCATTAGGATATTACAATTCATAAACAGCCATTATGGTTTCAGTTCTCACTGTATCTCAGTCCATCACTAACTCTGTTCAGACGAAATCAAAATATCTATCCATTATGTTGGGTATATTATACTGATGTCATGAGTGAGTTTAGTTGTACGCCGCTTTTAGCAATATTCCAGCAATATCAAACGAGAAATGGGCTTCACACATTGTACCCATGTTGGGAATCGAAACTCGGGTCTTCAGTATGACAAGCGACCGCTTTAACCACTAAGCACCATGCTATGTCTGTTACAAACAAATGACTGACTGACTGAGTTTGGTTTTACGCCGCTTTTAGCAATATTCCAGCAACATCATGGCGGGGGACACCAGAAATGACAAACAAATGAATACTGATAACACTGTGTCATCATTGCAGTGAGTGAGTTTAGTTTTACGCTGCTTTGAGCAATATTCCAGCAAAATCGCAACGTGGGACACTAGAAATGGGCTTCATAAACTCAAACCTGGGTCTTCAGCGTGAGTGAGTGAGTATGGTTTTGCACTGCTTTTAGCAATATTCCAGCAATATCGCAGCAGGGGACACTAGAAATGGGCTTCACACACTGTACCCATGTGGGGAATCAAGCCCAGGTCTTCAGCGTGAGGAGCGAACACTTTAACTAGTAGGCTATCCCACTACACCTGTCATCAGCTCGTACAAATACAACATAGTGTCACAGGGTTGGAAATAACTTTAAGATTGATAGTGTACTCCGGTACAGTGGCACTTGTAAAGTCACTTGCCCTGATAATTTTTCCACTATACCGACCATTTTCTTGCTGATTTATTAAATAAACAACATAATTAACATGCGAAAGTCAACTGGACACCGGTACAGTGTGATATACAAATTTGCTTGCCAGACAGACAAAAACACTGGACTCGGACGTCGGGCAATGGGTTATTTCCACCCCTGTGTCAGGCACACTCATTATCATAATAACACTGAAAAAAGTTCAAATCACTTACGTTTGTAAGCTCTAAGGTTCAGTGTGAAGGCATAGTTGTTGCTGTTGATGTTTCTCCGCTCCAGACGTAGTGTTGCTCTTCCTGTTGATGACATCATGGAACCAGGCTGTGGCGTCCCACAGGTGTAGCTGGAGCTCTTCATGGAGGGAAATGATAGATATGGTCAGGTGAAGGTGCAAAGGGGTTTAACGTCACACTTAAGATTATTTCTCTCATATGATGATGTGAATGCGTGTGCATGTGTGGCTGCTTGTACTAGCCCAGACTTAAGACTGAGGTACAACGCCACAGTGAAGCATGAATACCCCACTCAGACACATTATTCTGACTCTGAGCCGACCAGTCCTTGTTGTACCCATTCATGCCGAGCGCCAGGCAGGGACCAACAAGTACCATATTTTAACGTCTTTTGGTATGACGCGGTCGGGGATCAAATCCGCAACCTTCCAGATATGGTAAGAACTATACGGCGAGATATGTACGAGGAATGTCTACGAAAGTAAGTATCCATCTGTACCTCCTCCAGAACTATACGGTGAGAACGGCGAGATATATACAAGGAATGTCTACGAAAGTAAGTATCCATCTGTACCTCCTCCTGAACTATACGGCGAGATATGTACGAGGAATGTCTACGAAAGTAAGTATCCATCTGTACCTCCTCCCTGAACTACGGGCCTCGTGAGATATCACCTCCTGAAGATATGCGAGGAATGAAAGTAAGTATCCATCTGTACCTCCTCCTGAACGAAAGTAAGTATCCATCTGTACCTCCTCCTGAACTATAAGTATCCATCTGTACCTCCTCCTGAACTATATGGGCGAGATATAATGAGGAATGTCTCACGAAAAGTAAGTATCCATCTGTACCTCCTCCTGAACTATAATGGGCGAGATATGTACAGGAACGAAAAGTAAGTATCCATCTGTACCTCCTCCTGAACTATATGGCGAGATATGAATGCAGGAAGTGTATCCATCTGTACCTCCTCCTGAACTATAATGGTGAGCGAGATATGTAACGAGGAATGCTCCACGAAAAGTAAGTATCCATCTGTACCTCCTCCTGAACTATCGGGCGAGATATGTAATGAGGAATGTCACGAAAGTAAGTATCCATCTGTACCTCCTCCTGAACTATACGGGCGAGATATGTAATGCGAGGAATGTCTCACGAAAGTAAGTATCCATCTGTACCTCCTCCTGAACTATCTGGTGAGATATGTAATGAGGAATGTCTACGAAAAGTAAGTATCCATCTGTACCTCCTCCTGAACTATAATGGCAGATATGTAATGAGGAATGTCTCACGAAAAGTAAGTATCCATCTGTACCTCCTCCTGAACTATATGGCGAGATATGTAATGAGGAATGTCTCGAAAGTAAGTATCCATCTGTACCTCCTCCTGAACTATCGTGGGCGAGATATGTACGAGGAATAACGAGGAAATGCGAGGAATGTCACGAAAGTAAGTATCCATCTGTACCTCCTCCAGAACTATATGAGATATATCGAGGAATGTCTACAGTAAGTATCCATCTGTACCTCCTCCTGAACTATCGCGAAGATATATGCGAGGAATGTCTCACGTAAAGTATCCAGTAAGTATCCATCTGTACCTGTACCTCCCTGAACTATACTGGCGAGATATGTGCGAGAGAATGAGGAATGTCCTGAACGGTAATCCGTCTACGAAAGTAAGTATCCATCTGTACCTCCTCCTGAACTATACGGCGAGATATGTACGAGGAATGTCTACGAAAGTAAGTATCCATCTGTACCTCCTCCTGAACTATACGGCGAGATATGTACGAGGGAATGTCTCGAACTATGAGATGATAATGTAGAGGAATGTCTACGAAAAGTAAGTATCCATCTGTACCTCCTCCTGAACTATAATGGGCGATATGTAATGAGGAATGTCTACGAGAAGTAAGTATCCATGTACCTCCTCCTGAACTATAATGGGCGAGATATGTAATGAGGAATGTCTACGAAAAGTAAGTATCCATCTGTACCTCCTCCTGAACTATAATGGGCGCGAGATATGTAACGAGGAATGTCACGAAAAGTAAGTATCCATCTGTACCTCCTCCTGAACTATAACGGGCTTAGATATGTAATGAGGAATGTCCACGAAAGTAAGTATCCATCTGTACCTCCTCCTGAACTATATCGGCGAGATATGTACGAGGAATGTCTCACGAGAAAGTAAGTATCCATCTGTACCTCCTCCTGAACTATAATGGTGAGATATGTACGAGAATGAATCTCTACGAAAGTAAGTATCCATCTGTACCTCCTCCTGAACCTCCTGAGGAATGTCTCACAGTAAGTATCCATCTGTATGAACTATAATGGCGCGAGGAGGAATGTCGAGGAATGAAGTAAGTATCCATCTGTACCTCCTCCTGAACTATAATGGCGAGATATGTACGAGGAATGTCCACGAAAAGTAAGTATCCATCTGTACCTCCTCCTGAACTATATACGGGCGAGATATGTACGAGGAATGTCTACCACGAAAGTAAGTATCCATCTGTACCTCCTCCTGAACTATACGGCGTAGATATGTGTATGAGGAATGTCTACGTAAAAGTAAGTATCCATCTGTACCTCCTCCTGAACTATAATGGGCGAAGATATGTCAGAGGAATGTCTACAAAGTAAGTATCCATCTGTATCTGTACCTCCTCCTGAACTATACGGCGAGATATGTACGAGGAATGTCTACGAAAGTAAGTATCCATCTGTACCTCCTCCTGAACTATACGGCGAGATATGTACGAGGAATGTCTACGAAAGTAAGTATCCATCTGTACCTCCTCCTGAACTATACGGCGAGATATGTACGAGGAATGTCTACGAAAGTAAGTATCCATCTGTACCTCCTCCTGAACTATACGGCGAGATATGTACGAGGAATGTCTACGAAAGTAAGTATCCATCTGTACCTCCTCCTGAACTATACGGCGAGATATGTACGAGGAATGTCTACGAAAGTAAGTATCCATCTGTACCTCCTCCTGAACTATACGGCGAGATATGTACGAGGAATGTCTACGAAAGTAAGTATCCATCTGTACCTCCTCCTGAACTATACGGCGAGATATGTACGAGGAATGTCTACGAAAGTAAGTATCCATCTGTACCTCCTCCTGAACTATAATGGGCGAGATGTACGAGGAATGTCTACGAAAAGTAAGTATCCATCTGTACCTCCTCCTGAACTATATGGGGAGATATATGTAATGAGGAATGTCTATTTAAAGTAAGTATCCATCTGTACCTCCTCCTGAACTATACGGGCGCAGATATGTAATGAGGAATGTCTACGAAAAGTAAGTATCCATCTGTACCTCCTCCTGAACTATAATGGCGAGATAGATATGTACGAGGAATGTCTACGAAAAGTAAGTATCCATCTGTACCTCCTCCTGAACTATAATGGCGTGAGATATGTGCGAGAGGAATGTCACGAAAGTGTCCATCTGTACCTCCTCCTGAATGAGTAATGAGGAATGTCCACGAAAAGTAAGTATCCATCTGTACCTCCTCCTGAACTATATGGGCGAGATATCCGAGGAATGTCTACGAAAGTAAGTATCCATCTGTACCTCCTCCTGAACTATACGGCGAGATATGTACGAGGAATGTCTACGAAAAGTAAGTATCCATCTGTACCTCCTCCTGAACTATACGGCGAGATATGTACGAGGAATGTCTACGAAAGTAAGTATCCATCTGTACCTCCTCCTGAACTATACGGCGAGATATGTACGAGGAATGTCTACGAAAGTAAGTATCCATCTGTACCTCCTCCTGAACTATACGGCGAGATATGTACGAGGAATGTCTACGAAAGTAAGTATCCATCTGTACCTCCTCCTGAACTATACGGCGAGATATGTACGAGGAATGTCTACGAAAGTAAGTATCCATCTGTACCTCCTCCAGAACTATATACGGTGCGAGATATGTACGAGGAATGTCTACGAAAGTAAGTATCCATCTGTACCTCCTCCTGAACTATACGGCGAGATATGTACGAGGAATGTCTACTAAAGTAAGCATCCATCTGTACCTCCTCCTGAACTGTCTTTCAGGATCACTGGAGTGCTGCAGTCTACCAAAACAGGACTCTTTGTTGCCAGACCTCAGTCAGTATCCAACGGTATGTGATGACTTGCTGATGACTTGCAGAGTATTCAGTGTATGTCATTTCAGTCCAATGAGTGAGTGAGTGAGTGAATTTAGTTTTACGCCGCACTCAGCGTGACGAGCGATCACTTTAACCAATATTCCAGCAATATCACTTTAACCATTAGGCTAGCTCACCACGCATCAAGTAACACTAAATAACAAGGCAACTGTAACAGTCATCAGAGGTGTCAGTGCCCTTTTCCTTGATATAAAGTGAGTGAGTTTAGTTTTACGCCGCACTCAGCAATATTCCAGCTATATGGCGCAGTCTGTAAATAATCGAGTCTGGACCAGACAATCCAGTGATCAACAGCATGAGCATCGATCTGCGCTATTGGGAACCGATGACATGTGTCAACCAAGTCAGCGAGCCTGACCATCCGATCCTGTTAGTCGCCTCTTACGACAAGCATGGGTTACTGAAGATCAATATTCTAACCCGGACCTTCACGGGTGGTAAGAAAAAGATAAATACATGTATTCTTATGTTTGCAATAAAGCTACAGTATATTGTACCAACATAGCTGCAAGATAATAAGGTAACACAGCAGCAGTATATTCCTGTAATATAGCTACAGTATATTGTACCAACATAGCTGCAAGATAATAAGGTAACACAGCAGCAGTATATTCCTGTAATATAGCTACAGTATATTGTATGGCTTTATCGTGCCAAGAACGCTATCCATTGTCTGATTATATTGTATGTCATTATAGTTGAAGTATAGTATTACGGTGTACTTGCAGTATATTGTGGAAACATAGTTACAGTATGTTTTGGTAGCATAGCTACAGTACATTGTCACGGCAATATAAGTGGAATATAGTTGAAGTATTTAGCGGTAACATGGCTGAAATACATGTGGTAACAGCTGCAATGTTTTGTGGCAAAAACGTTGCAGTACATTTTTTTAACATAGTTGCAGCATTTTGTGGTAAAATAGCTACAGTGTATTGTGGTTACACTGTTGCAGTATATTGTTACAACATAACTACAGTGTATTGTAGTTACACTGTTGCAGTATATTGTTATAACATAACTACAGTGTATTGTGGTTACACTGTTGCAGTATATTGTTATAACATAACTACAGTGTATTGTGGTTACACTGTTGCAGTATATTGTTATAACATAACTACAGTGTATTGTAGTTACACTGTTGCAGTATATTGTTATACATAACCACAGTGTATTGTAGTTACACTGTTGCAGTATATTGTTATAACATAACTACAGTGTATTGTAGTTACACTGTTGCAGTATATTGTTATAACATAACTACAGTGTATTGTAGTTACACTGTTGCAGTATATTGTTATAACATAACTACAGTGTATTGTAGTTACACTGTTGCAGTATATTGTTATAACATAACTACAGTGTATTGTAGTTACACTGTTGCAGTATATTGTTATAACATAACTACAGTGTATTGTAGTTACACTGTTGCAGTATATTGTTATAACATCACTACAGTGTATTGTAGTTACACTGTTGCAGTATATTGTTATAACATCACTACAGTGTATTGTAGTTACACTGTTGCAGTATATTGTTATAACATCACTACAGTGTATTGTAGTTACACTGTTGCAGTATATTGTTATAACATAACTACAGTGTATTGTAGTTACACTGTTGCAGTATATTGTTATAACATAACTACAGTGTATTGTAGTTACACTGTTGCAGTATATTGTTATAACATCACTACAGTGTATTGTAGTTACACTGTTGCAGTATATTGTTATAACATAACTACAGTGTATTGTGGTTACACTGTTGCAGTATATTGTTATAACATCACTACAGTGTATTGTAGTTACACTGTTGCAGTATATTGTTATAACATCACTACAGTGTATTGTAGTTACACTGTTGCAGTATATTGTTATAACATAACTACAGTGTATTGTAGTTACACTGTTGCAGTATATTGTTATAACATAACTACAGTGTATTGTAGTTACACTGGTTAGTATATTGTTATAACATAACTACAGTGTATTGTGGTTACACTGCTGCAGCATATTGTTAAAACATAACTACAGTGTATTGTAGTTACACTGTTGCAGTATATTGTTATAACATAACTACAGTGTATTGTAGTTACACTGTTGTAGTATATTGTTATAACATAACTACAGTGTATTGTAGTTACACTGTTGCAGTATATTGTTATAACATAACTACAGTGTATTGTAGTTACACTGTTGCAGTATATTGTTATAACATAACTACAGTGTATTGTAGTTACACTGTTGCAGTATATTGTTATAACATAACTACAGTGTATTGTGGTTACACTGTTGCAGTATATTGTTATAACATAACTACAGTGTATTGTGGTTACACTGTTGCAGTATTTTGTTATTACATAACTACAGTGTATTGTAGTTACACTGTTGCAGTATATTGTTATAACATAACTACAGTGTATTGTAGTTACACTGTTGCAGTATATTGTTATAACATAACTACAGTGTATTGTGGTTACACTGTTGCAGTATATTGTTATAACATAACTACAGTGTATTGTAGTTACACTGTTGCAGTATATTGTTATAACATAACTACAGTGTATTGTAGTTACACTGTTGCAGTATATTGTTATAACATAACTACAGTGTATTGTAGTTACACTGTTGCAGTATATTGTTATAACATAACTACAGTGTATTGTAGTTACACTGTTGCAGTATATTGTTATAACATAACTACAGTGTATTGTAGTTACACTGTTGCAGTATATTGTTATAACATAACTACAGTGTATTGTAGTTACACTGTTGCAGTATATTGTTATAACATAACTACAGTGTATTGTAGTTACACTGTTGCAGTATATTGTTATAACATAACTACAGTGTATATTGTTATAACATAACTACAGTGTATTGTAGTTACACTGTTGCAGTATATTGTTACAACATAACTACAGTGTATTGTAGTTACACTGTTGCAATACATAGTTGCAGCATGGTAGTCCAGTAGACTCACCCCAGTTGAAGTGCCCTCAAGACTGACGAAGAGAACCACATCACAGTCATCCATCTGGAAGTTGCCAATACTCAGATCAAAGTGGTCTCTGTCATCCGCCACCCGGAACTGTAGCGTGCACGCCATGACGGACGATGAGGCACCGCTTGTTTTACCAATAATCTGCACGGTCGTGTCAGTTTCTACGTCCAGGAAGCCAGCAAAGCTGCAGTCAGCTGACTTGTCCATGGTATCTAAAACAAGACAGCCAACAATCAGGTGCCACACTCCATAGAACAATTGTTTTAGCCTATATTTTATCAGATAATAAAAGAGTAATCATTTGTTTGCCATTGAAGAATTAATACACACACTTTACAAATCACCAGGTTCATACTTCATAAGTTTGAAGTCCAACGTGACTCACATGAACTTCTGGCTGAGCTGGCTTGAGCAGCCTCCAGGAACATCAACAGCAGTAATAGTGTTGCAGTCATTTTGTATCTTGCCTCATCAACATTCAACGACAAATACCACATCTCAGTCGCATACTAGTCTCCAGATTATCTCAGTATTTCGAGGACACCTGAAATGATAAGGGACGAAAAAGAATTTTCAGAAAATAGTATTAACAAATGTCAACATTGTCAGTGCATTAAACACTGCATCCTTCTGAGGCAAGGGAGATAACTGACATCAAAACCCTTGTCAAGCTACACTGGACTTTCATTGTTGATTGTTAATAAGCGCCACCAATGGCTGTTGTGAGTTATGTCCCTCTTTACATTCCACAAATTGACCAATCAGATTCTACCTTTAAACTTACTTACATTTGCTTCAAATAAATGATGCAGATCAGTCAGGACAATTTTATCAATGATCAAGATCTTTATCATAGTAAAAGGGTCATGAAGTTGATAAAGTTATTTGAACACCTTGATTGAAAACATGAAAATATTTTGAAAATATCAAGTTGACAGTGACACATAATGTGCAAATACTGCACTGTCAGTCGCCATGTTCTTTATGACTCGAATATTGTTTTTCTTACTCTAGTTGAGCCATATACTCCACAGTTAATCAAAACTTGAAACTGAATATTTACAGTTACCTCCCTTGACTCAGGAAACTGTCAACGCTCATGGTTAACACTGTCAATGTGGATAGAAATATGATGACATACTGAATCAAACTGCTCAACCTAACCTTTCACCACTTTTATATGTAACAATACCAAATGTTGTGTACTTAGTTCAGGGTCATTTGTCTGGATTGTATCCACCATTTGTCCGTAAGGTATCCACCAAATTGTCCGAGTGGTATCCCTTATCTGTCTGTGTGGTATCCACCAATTGTCTGAGTGGTATCTATCATTTGTCTGGATGGTATCAACCAATTCTCTGTGTGGTATCCCTTATCTGTCTGGGTGGTATCCACCATTTGTCTGGATGGTATCCACCATTTGTCTGTGTGGTATCCATCATTTGTCTGTGTGGTATCCACCATTTGTCTGTGTGGTATCCACCAATTGTCTGTGTGGTATTCATCATCTGACTGTGTGGTATCCACCAATTGACTGTGTGGTATCCACCAATTGACTGTGTGGTATCCACCAATTGACTGTGTGGTATCCACCAATTGACTGTGTGGTATCCACCAATTGTCTGTGTGGTATCCATCATTTGTCTGTGTGGTATCCACCAATTGACTCTGTGTGGTATCCACCAATTGTCTGTGTGGTATCCACCAATTGTCTGTGTGGTATCCACCAATTGACTGTGTGGTATCCACCAATTGACTGTGTGGTATCCACCATTGGTATCCACCAATTGACTGTGTGGTATCCACCAATTGACTGTGTGGTATCCACCAATTGACTGTGTGGTATCCACCAATTGACTGTGTGGTATCCACCAATTGACTGTGTGGTATCCACCAATTGACTGTGTGGTATCCATCAATTGACTGTGTGGTATCCACCATTTGACCATCCACCATTGACTGTGTGGTATCCACCAAATGTATGTGTGGTATCCACCTTTTGTCAGTGTGGTATCCCTCATTTGACTGTGTGGTATCTATCATTTTTCTGTGTGGTATCCACCAAATGACTGTGTGGTATCCACCAATTGTCTGTGTGGTATTGTTTGTGTGTGGTATCCCACCATTTGTCAGTGTGGTATGTGTCATATTGACCAATTGTGTGGTATCCATCATGTGACTGTGTGGTATCCACCAATTGTCTGTGTGGTATCCACCAATTGTCTGTGTGGTATCCATCATTTGACTGTGTGGTATCCATCATTTGTCTGTGTGGTATCCATCATGTGACTGTGTGGTATCCACCAATTGACTGTGTGGTATCCATCATGTGATCTGTGTGGTATCCATCATTTGTCTGTGTGGTATCCATCATTTGACTGTGTGGTATCCATCATGTGACTGTGTGGTATCCACCAATTGTCTGTGTGGTATCCATCATGTGTCTGTGTGGTATCCATCATTTGTCTGTGTGGTATCCATCATGTGACTGTGTGGTATCCACCAATTGACTGTGTGGTATCCATCATGTGACTGTGTGGTATCCATCATTTGTCTGTGTGGTATCCATCATTTGACTGTGTGGTATCCATCATGTGACTGTGCGGTATCCACCAATAGCCTGCATGGTATCCACCAATTGTCTGTGTGGTATCCCTCATGTGACTGTGTGGTATCTACCAATAGCCTGCATGGTATTCACCAATTGTCTGAGTGGTATCCCTCATTTGACGGTATGGTATCCACCAATTGTCCAGGTGGTATCCACCAACTGTCTGCATGGTATCTAGCAATTGTCTGTGTGGTAACCATCAATTATCTGGATGGTATCCATCCCTGGATGGAATATATCATTTCTCTAGATGGTATCTAGACAAATATCCAGAGTCCATGTATGGGTATTATCCATGTATGGGTATTAAGCATGTCTAGCATCCATTTGTTCTTGTATCCATATTCTTCATCCATGTTTAGGGAAATGCATTACAATGGTCAGTGAGGAAGCGATTTAATAAGACTATATTCATCATCAGTATCACTCACTCACTCATTATCATAAAGAATCCACCATGTGAAACGGTTGTGGTTTCTTCACAAAAAAGTTCCAAGTCTTATTAAGTGGAAACCATATTCTGTTCCTCTATATCTCTTTACATTACACCATTACATGGTCAAAACACCTTTCTAGACAATTGCAGGACCACCAAAACAGCTGAAACAAAATTCAAAGACTGTTTCTCACTAATTAGGATGTTATTTAAAGAGCTTATAAAATCACTATATTTGTAGCCTAAATACATGTATCAATAACACTTCCTTGATTGGTCCTACCAATGGCAATACCTCACTCAGTGTCTTGAACGAAACCACTTTGATCCCAGCTTTTATGTTTATAATAACTGCAGTGGTTTACCGTTTCCTCCTGGTCTGATGTATCAACTAGGGACCTAGGGAATGTATCTTCACATTCCAAACGTGTGTCGATTACTCATACCGTGCACATTCAAACAAACCACAAACATTTCACGTGTATTACACAAAACAATGGATCAGTAAATTTACAATAAAAAAACAGGTGAGGCGCCTATTGTCTATGTTTTTAATTATCTAAAATTCATATGAACTAAAAGTCAAACATTTGAGGAAGTTGTGTCACTCTTGTGTTATGTCTATGACCCGTTACGGCATAAGTCTCTTGCTTATTATTATTCAGGTACATAATGCCACGAGCAGACCAGGTACGTTGACAGGAAAGTGACGGTAGAGTGTGTCCCCACCCCATGGCATAACTGCCCCACCCAATATCCAATCTACGAAACACTCACCTTGCATTATGTCGCGTCCATTGTAGTGGCCTATTTCCATAAGGACGCCATTTTGTTGTCCGATATCTGTCGCCTACCTGTAAAGGCAATACTAACCGAGAAATACAGGTGTGCCGAAATATTTACTGAAAACATTGCAAGAGCATGAACCAGTCAAATTTACTATTACTCTTTTACATACATTAGATGTATAAAGTTATTGCAATTCTTATAATTTAATACGTTCTTCATTTATTAATCAAAACAAATGGAACAAGTATGTTGAATTGGTACAGCCTTGCATACCTGGACGTGAATAATCTACGCGTGACAGTAGGCCTCGTGTCACATTGTCAAACACTTCGAAGGTTTCAGTAGAAGGGAGATAACTGCTGCGGTCATTGTTGAAATTTCACCTTACTGGGGAGTCCCCCTTTCCGTTCCGTGGGAACAGGACATGGTTCGATGAGCTCTTTGGGTGATACCAAAGCAGGAGAAAAGACGCACATAAAGTATACAAAAATGTAAACAAGAGTGATTGGGCTATAACTCGTACAGCGACACAAACGGCATTACGAGTAACAGTTTTTCTATTAACGATAATATATAGCTAATATTATTATAAATAAAATAAAGAAATTATCGCTTAGAAATAATGATTAGGAAAGAATTGTTTATTTGAGTTTAAGTTGATTGCTTGCTTGTATTTTCCGGAGGGGTTAGTGTGATCTTCTGACACGTCCCAAGTATTAATTAATCTATGTGACGTAGCTGTGACGTTGTTGAATGCGGCATGACACAGCATTCATTCGCTGAGTTATGGAGATTGTGTGAACATCTGTGTGGGTTTTCAGTTGTACACCAGTTCCTTGTTAAATAGGCTAGGAGAAGAGAATTATGTTTAATCCACGACATGAACATCATAAGTACTTGTATCAAGACAAAGGCATGTACATGACTATTGTTTTTGTTTTCCGAATCTTCTAAAACACTCAGGGCTCCACGGAAGTCCAGCTAGGGAAGGTATGCGGATGTACACGCGTCTTTTACAAATCGTTGAATGTTTTGGGTTTTTCAATGTTACACATTCAACTTTACATTTACTAGTTCTGACACGATGCAGATGCAAACACCAGGGAAAACTCTGCCATTGTGAAGTTTATGTATAAAGAAAATCGGATAAAATCATATACTGAGACGGCCATATAAGGTTTATTTTGGATAATGCTATATCAGTAAAGTATACAGATGCCATAGTCTGTTTGCAGTGAAAACCTACCGGTGAATTGCACTTTAAACAAAAATGTAAATCGAATAAAGTGATATTAAGATTGCGAATCCTCATGATTCTACCCTACCAATTGAACATTTAAATCATAGATTTTTATTTTCAACTTATGAAAAAAGTTGTTTAACAAACAATCATAGTTTCAAATAGCGTATATTGGTTTGTATTACAAGGGGGTAAGCGCAGTAGTTGGAACAGTGACACAAATGCACGTGCGGTACGTGATGAGCGTTACTTTAGACCAACCCTACTTGATCTCGGTGTTTCATTTTATGTGCATACCCCCTTGTAATACAAACCAATAATACCGATTTGAAACTATGATCATTTGTTAAACAACTTTCATCCTAAGTTGAATACAATTCTGAGATTTAAATTTTCAAATTATGAGGATTTGCAATCTTAATTTCACTTTATTTGATTTACTTTTTTGTTTAAAGTGAAATTCATCGGTACGTTTTCACCGCAAACAGACTATAGAGCTAGGTTGAGTCTCATCCGGGATTCGAACCCACACTCTCAGAGTGCACCTACTCGCCAGCACATAAAGTCAGCAATCTTACCCACTAAGACAGCGCGGCTACCTCACGAATGGAAGTCGGACATCTGGTAGTCTAGACCAAGAACATCGGGTACCTCTCTGATAAGGGTAAATGGCACTGTGTATTCATACTAACCCGGCAAACTAAAGTATGCTTAGATAGTGAATATAACAGCACGACGCATGACACCAGGTTCCACCAGGCAAATATTCCATTTTGGCGGGATATTGTTTGGAAACAAAAATGATTTTTCTACTTACAACAGGTTATAAATTTCGAGCAAGAGTTTTTCATGATGTGCACGTGAGCATAGTCATGGTAAAATTCGAAATTTACAGTGAAACGGACAGAAAATTGTTCCGATATTGTTTTAAACTCAGTTAAACGTTTTTTGGGGTGAGAGTTCCTCCCGTTCCCTCATCCCAAATAATATTTATAAATATACTAAAATTATTAACAAAACTTAACACAACAATTACTAGAGTACTCACAAAATGACTAAAAGTCAAAAATTTAAGTTAGGATTAGGTTTAGGGTTAGGTTTAGAGTTAGGCTTAGGGTTGGGGGAACGGAAGGAACTCTTTCCGTGTTTTTACATGCGGCGTCCGTCACGTCAGGAACGACTACGTGCAGTTGGCATGATGGGAGCAGGGGCGGATACAGCTTTTTGAGAAAGGGGGGTGCACACTTCATTTTCACCCGAGTTTCAATGGTCATTTAACAAACTTTCAGCACAAAAGGGGGTGCGCACGCACACACACACACACCCACACCCCACCCCTAGATCCGCCTATGGGGAGTTGGAACAAGACAGATTATTGTGGCAGGAGCTCTTCACGTTTGACAGTCAGTAGTAAGCAGATTAAGATCATGATATCGACAGACAAATAACGTTGTAGACAGACGTCGATCAAGACCGTTTGATAAGAACGTCTTTGTTATGAAATCGTGGTCAACGTACGTGCCTCTCAAACTGGAGATGGTCTTCACAGAGCCACAGGCGTTAGAGTGAGTGGACTAGGGTTGCGCATATAGGGCCTGCAAACGTTATGTTTTCGGATGAATCAATGTTTACTTTGGACTTCCTCGACAGGTGCAACAGAATGTGGCGACGACGGAATGAGCGTTTTCTTGCAGTTAATGTTAGAAGAGTTGCTTCTATGAGTTGCTAAGTAAAGGTGTAGGTTGGGACCACTGACGGTCGTGTCTGGGAAGTACTACAGTGACAACACGGAGGCAAACGTGGTGCCAGCTGGGCGCCGACGTCGACGTCGTCTTGTGTTTCAGGATCACAAGAGCACACAGGGCTTGTATTGTCACCGAGTACCTCCAACAGGAGAATATAACCACCCTACCCAGCACTCAATCCAGAATTGTTACCTATCGACCATGGCGCTACCCTGCAGGAAGAATGGGATAGAATGATTGTCTTGAGAATAGAGTCGGGTTCACGCGACATTGATGGTAAATGACGTGGTGGACGGTGGGGCGCTGTGGCCAATCATCTGACAACATCTAAGGTCATCTGACGTTCAGCGACTAATGCAAATCTTAGTCACATTACCCTGTCACATTGTTACACTACTGATTTCATTAAATATGTGGTGAGTGAGTTTAGTTTTACGGGTATATTAAATATGTAAACTATCAATACTTGGGACACCTTTTTGATTATCCCCTTCTCTCTTTAATTGTATATGTTGTTCAAGGACTATTTATATGGTGACCTTCCTCTCCCAGAAATATTTTAAGAACAGAACTTAAAAAAATTGTTGTCGATGTTTACGCAAGCATGCTGAAACACAGGATATGACATCGAACGAGCGGTTATTATTTTTTTAAATATGAATATATCCAATTAACGCATCATTCGCACAAAATGGCTCACCACAAGCTACATATAAATCTCATTAAAATCAGGTATCACAGTTCGCTATGCGCTCTATGTAACGGTATGGTGCACCGAGATCTGATTTTAATGAGATTTGCTGTTTTCAGATACGTAAGAAATATACCCATAAATATATTCACATCCATGAACATGCACTTTATGTGTGCTATACAGCTGAAAAGGAGCTATATATTCACAATAATACTTCATGTTACAGGGGTAGAGTAACAAATTTTATGCAAGGTACAATGCCATATATATATATGATGTATGGTAAGAAGCCACTTGATTTGACTGAGTTGGGGCCTGAGCAGTTTCTAGTGGTATCACGGCACGTCAACTTGATGCTGGAGGAAAGCCAGACGTTTGCTTATTTTATGTTTAACTCCGCACTCAGCTGTTGTGAGTGGGGGATGGGGTGGTGGTGGTGTGTGTGTGTGTGTGTGTGTGTTTGTTTGTGTGTTTGAGCAGAAAATTCGCCATTTTGTTTTATGACGTCATGGCTCATTCTGAAGGTTATTGTTGTAAATATTGACTTTGATATCTTTTGTATGAACTTTGTATTGTATTTTCGGCTTGGCTTTTATATATGTATAAATAGCATGATGCATGTGAATGTTGAGATGGCACCTTGTGAAGACTATCTAAACGAGATTTATTATGATCCCAAACATCCTAGCAGTTGTGCTGACACAAGAAGTTATACCAAGCCGTGAAAGCTGACCCTTTAGAAGGTAGGCAATATAAGGTCCCCAAACAGTGTTTGGAAATTCATTCACAGCTTAATCGCCAGAGAGAACGCACGGGTTTTAACTCTACTGGTTCTGTTTGCTGTTTACCTCGAAGATATTGGACATATGTGATATTCTCAGTTGTGATAAAGAGGCCCTGGTAAAACTTCAAAATCCGAAATGTCATTTACATCTAGGGGATGATGTCTATGTCACCGCCAAGACATGGAAGGGAGAACTAGAAATTCATGTTAGGAAGTACGACTATACCCGAACGGCCAGTCCTACCCTGCAAAACAAGGTATTGTCCTGAGTTTGAAACATTGGATGGAAGTGTCCAGTGTTCATGTGCACCTAAACAGCAGGGAAGGTACTCACACGTCCATGTTGGAGGGAGCAGGTACGCTTCCTGGAACGACAATGGTATTGGCGTGCGACAGTGGGAGAATGACCAGAATAGTGGTAGAGTGATACCTACCAACAAATGTAGTCCGTTGTCCATAGATCAGTGGGAAAAGCTGGTAGATTGTGTAAGAGTCATGTTTGACTTTGTGCCAGAACTGAAAGAGATGGTTCCTTGTATGCTTCAGGACGATCATCAAAACCAGATGGGGTACCTCATGTGTTCCTTCTGTAATCCTAATGACTACAG